GGTCATCCTCCTGGTCTACTTAGTCAAAGTAGTCACCAACCTGACAAAGATACCTTCCAGCCATTGGGTCTTCGTCCAAGGACCTTTTAACCGGGGTGGATCTTGTCAAAAAGGAACAAATTGAATCCACTTTAGCAACAGAGCTTTGTCGCCTATCGAAATCATATCCATGATTCATATCTCAAGATTTAATGTCAATTAGAAAGCATTGCGCGGCCATACCGTATTTTCGTGTGCCAGTTTGGCGCAAACCACCGTTCAAGGGGTCCCGATCATAACTGTTTATCCTCGGATGCCATTGGCGCCAGACCGCGGTAAAACATACCACGCCTACTAGCAGGAATTGTTTAGAAAGATCCTATTATATATTTTCACTAGGCATTTGCGCTCTTGGAGCTGAAAATTAATTCATATTTGCCACTCGCCAAACTGTTATGGAGTGGCATTGAATTTTTGCTTTAAGCGATGAGATTAAATTTCAAATTTAAATATTCTTGGAAATTTAGGATTTTGAAGTGCGCATTTTGAGTTTATGGGTAATTTAAGACTTTTGGAGCATTAAAAAATGCACTGAAAATTAACCCTCCGTTAATATAAATTTCAACACCGGTCACACCCTGAGTCATTTACATTTATGAACCTGTCACCCCTATCAACTACGAATAGGGAATCGGGTTTCTTACTTTAATGCCTATGTTATGAATTTCTCTTTATTAAGCCGAATAGGAAATTACAAAATAAATATTGCTGTCAACTCGTAACCGCATCATATTATCTTATATCTCGAACCTTGTTTACTCTCATTTATCTAATTAAGGAGAATCGGGTTTCATAGCTTCATGCCTTTTATTAGTGAATTCTTTTATTGTAAGCTTGAACAAATGAATATATTGAAAACAAATACACTGGTCGTCACAACCGTTGTATCGTTTAAAGTTCGAACCCTGTCGACTTCTATGGTCCTATAAAGGATCAGTCGAACTAAATTCACTTACGAACACGCCAGCATCCCTAAGCGTCAGTGTACCAATAACACGCTTTTCCCCATGCGGTATTTAATTGATTCAGACTACCCATTGTACCTATGTGTATACCAAACTTATACAGTGCAGTACTTTGAAACATTTTTAAACACCTTCTCCCGCTTATAGATATTGCGTCCAGTCGGCGTTAGTGTAGAGCCTTCTGGGTCTGTATCAGTGTTGCAAATCCGTCTTGGCGTCATTTAGTGTGACTTCTTCTGTCTGTTTCATAGTGGTTTTCAGATCCGAGTGCGTTGGAATTTAATTGTACTCCTTCTGTTCTGTTTCATGAGTGTTCCTCCGACGGTGCATTGTAATTAACGCTGGTCTGCTTGCGCATGATGTTGAATCCCGTTTTGCATTGTAATTATAGACGCCTTTGCTGCTTCAGAGTATGCAAATCCGTCTTGCATGTAGATTGTAGACGCCTTCCTGTCATGCAGCATAATTTAGCAATTCAGTGGTTTGCATCATCCTCTC